TTTTAGTGCAGATTGGACAATTTTTATTTGCCTGTTTTGCAACCAAAAACATGAAATTGTGAAAATGAGTTTTTGCCTGTTGCGTCTCCCTTTACGTCTGATCAAAAAGTGAATCGCAACGGTCCAGCAATCTCAGAATGTTTCCTGTTTTTACCACGGAAAAAAACGTTTATCTCCAAAATCGGCCCATTCCGAAAAAAAATAATAATTTAACCCCACCATTTTTGACACGTAACAAGCGCACTGACAAATAAATACAAAAACACTGACCATGAGCACAGTGACACTGGGCTTGGCTTTCCCCCGGCACCGTGGACCTTTCGCACCATTTGACTGGGGCCTTTGGGGTGAGGGCCACTGGAGCGGAGCTTTTCTCACCCACGTTTGGGAATCCTGTCCCACACAGATTAACTCGCCAATGGTGCGCGACGCGGTTGGGACACAAATTGTGGCTTGAATATTAACCCGGTTTCGAGTCAAGAGGGGAGAGAGTCCAAGAAGGTAAAATAACACACTTTTTCTTACGTGAACCCTGCGAAAAAAAACGAAAATCTACTCAAAAGTCTTGAATTAAGAATAAAGAAGAAAGATTTGAGTTGTTTCTGGTGGAAGATGCTTAGAGATGTTACTGGATTGCCTGGATTAGACTTATTTATTAAACTACACCTCAAAATCTCTTGGAAATTTAGGGTTTGTGCGCGATGCAGCGGTCACGTGACTTAATGTTTTGGCGCCAAACTGGAGGTCGAGGTTGTGGTTGATCTTGAAGGTGTTATTCAGTTACTACAATATAATCATAGCGACTTTAAACTGGCCTGATTCATCTTCGTGGAAACCGTCTGACCTCGCAGCATCAGGATTCGTTCGCTTGACGGTAGGCGGGTACTTTTTTTTATTTAACCAATCGCTGCTATTTGGTCGTGACATATGTAATGCACCACTAACGGGGCTATATTAAGCTTTTCCCAAATCATGTAGGAAGAAGAAGATAAAATTCACCAAACATTCTCTTTGTTCTGGCTTTAAATCCTCGATCTCGGGAATCGTTCCCAAAACAGAATGTATGACTCTTCGCTGACTGGCTGGTGCTCAAACTCGCACTTCCAGGATTCTTACAAACCGTCTAGTGTATTCTGATTCCTGACCTAGTCGCTGGAGAGAAATGAAACTAAGCGGAGGCACTAGGAGACGCCAACCTGGCTAACTTTAAAAAGCGTAAACATAAAACTGTCCGAAATCGCCAGCTCGTTAGATCAGCCGTCATTAGAAAGGTATAAAGATAAAGTCGTCGTCCTGGGTTGTGGAAAAGATCCCGAGATCTAATTCCAATGGACCGCTTTGTCAGTCTAATCAGCGCTCACTCGGGCAGGCAGGATTGCATGCTGGCAAAAGTGAGGACCATCGCGGGCGGGATCTGGCAAAAGTGAGGATGGCGGGCGGGATTCTGTACCGGCAAAAGTGAGGACCATGGCGGGCGGGATTCTGTACTAGTGAAAGTGAGGAACATGGCGCATGGGATTCTGTACCGGCGAAAGTGAGGACCGTGGCAGGCGGGATTGCAGGTTGGTGAAAGTGAGGACTGTGGTGGGCGGGATTACGCGTTGGTGAAAGTGAGGACCGTGGTGGGCGGGATTACGCGTTGGTGAAAGTGAGGACCGTGGTGGGCGGGATTGCGTACTGGCAAAAGTGAGGACTGTCGTGGGCGGGATTACGCGTTGGTGAAAGTGAGGACCGTGGTGGGCAGGATTGCGTACTGGCAAAAGTGAGGACTGTGGTGGGCGGGATCGCGGGTTGGCGAAAGTGAGGACTGTGGTGGGCGGGATTACGCGTTGGTGAAAGTGAGGACCGTGGTGGGAGGGATTGCGTACTGGCAAAAGTGAGGACTGTGGTGGGCGGGATTGCGTGTTGGTGAAAGTGAGGACCGTGGTGGGCAGGATTGCGCGTCGACGAAGGTGAGGACTGTGGTGGGCGGGACTGCGTGCTGGCAAAAGTGAGGACTGTGGTGGGCGGGATTGCGCGTTGGTGAAAGTGAGGACCGTGGTGGGTGGGATTACGCGTTGGTGAAAGTGAGGACCGTGGTGGGCGGGATTGCGTACTGGCAAAAGTGAGGACTGTGGTGGGCGGGATTGCGTACTGGCGAAAGTGAGGACTGTGGTGGGCGGGATTACGCGTTGGTGAAAGTGAGGACCGTGGTGGGCGGGATTGCGTACTGGCAAAAGTGAGGACTGTGGTGGGCGGGATTGCATACTGGCGAAAGTGAGGACTGTGGTGGGCGGGATTACGCGTTGGTGAAAGTGAGGACCGTGGTGGGCGGGATTGCGTACTGGCAAAAGTGAGGACCGTGGTGGGCAGGATTGCGTACTGGCAAAAAGTGAGGACCGTGGTGGGCAGGATCACGGATTGGCGAAAGTGAGGACTGTGGTGGGCGGGATTACGCGTTGGTGAAAGTGAGGACCGTGGTGGGCGGGATTGCGTACTGGCAAAAGTGAGGACTGTGGTGGGCGGGATTGCGTACTGGCGAAAGTGAGGACTGTGGTGGGCGGGATTACGCGTTGGTGAAAGTGAGGACCGTGGTGGGCGGGATTGCGTACTGGCAAAAGTGAGGACTGTCGTGGGCGGGATTACGCGTTGGTGAAAGTGAGGACCGTGGTGGGCAGGATTGCGTACTGGCAAAAGTGAGGACTGTGGTGGGCGGGATTACGCGTTGGTGAAAGTGAGGACCGTGGTGGGCAGGATTGCGCGTCGGCAAACGGGAGGACCGTGGCGGGCGGGATCGCGGGTTGGCGAAAGTGAGGACCGTGGCAGGTGGGATCGCGCGTCGACAAAGGTGAGGACTGTGGTGGGCGGGACTGCGTGCCGGCAAAAGTGAGGACCGGGGCGGGTGAGATTCTGTGCCGGCGAAAGTGAGGACCGTGGCGGCAAAAGTGAGGACCGGCTTGAGCGGGATTGTGTGCTGGCGAAAGTGAGGACCGGGGCCGGTGGAATTCTGTGCCGGCGAAAGTGAAACCTTCTTATTTTATCGCACACAAATACTACACGTTGGTCCAGATGGATAGTTTGACCTCCAGTATGGCGGCATAAACACCAGGTCACGAGCTTTTGTGACGCAGACGCAAAACCTTAACAGCTCCGTTGTTTTTCTCCAGATCTGACTTGTGACTTTGTGGTGTAGCCTGTTTGTCTCTATGGATACAGACAAACTTAAATATACGAGGAAAAGCAATGACATTTCTATGGAGACAAGCTCACCCTCCACCACAAAGGTTCCATAATGCACCTTTAGTCAAAATTCTCTGCCAGATGCGGGATTTTTTTTTCTTCATGTCTTAGATTAAATTATTTATATTTTATGAGAAAAGTGCCTTAAAGGGACAGTCCTGGAATTTTGGACATAGGACCTCATTTCCTATTGAGCCAGAGAGTTGGAGACGTGTGGAGACACTTTTTAAAATATTCCATCCAGTCCTTGTATTTGCAGAGTCGCTGGTGTTAGACTAGTGCATGTCAATGGTCATAGTTTATCCTGCCACTAAAAACAGTCTTAGGCCCTGTTTACATTTTTAAAAACAGAGACATTTCCCTTTGTTTGTTCTCATCTTTTACACACTGAAAACGAATCTTTCTAAAAACTTTGTCTAGAGTGGAGATTCTGGAAAACTCCGGTTTGGCGTTTGCGTTTAAAGTGAGATAAACAAAATTTTAGGAGCTGATGCGCCAAAAGTGCGACCAGTGTTTCCCTTTTCATGTGTTTACATTTACACACAGCTGATGTTTCATATCCATGACCAGAGACCAATGAGGAGCTTATTAATTTTACCACTTCTTTAACAGATCTGTGGAGAGGCGAGCCCGCTCACTAATGCAAGTTTTTCAAGATATTTTTGTGTCATACTTACAACTGTAATTAAATAAATGCTACAGGTTTGAATCTAATCCAGGCGCCGCCCCGAGGTTTGGCGAAGATATGAAGGCGCTCGATGGCGAATTTATGCGGGCTGATGTAAACGAAAACTTTTTTGAAAACGATTCTTTGTGCACGATGTTATTTTGGAAAACAGGTGGAGGGAAATATTCGTTTCTCCACATACCCGCTCTGTGTAAACAGTTTTACCCACTTTACAAAGCACCCAAAGCAAAACAATTATAACTCCAGACTGTAAATGTAAATGTCTGTGGAGACAGAATAATTTTAGAAGTAAAACTAACCTTGCATCGCAAGAATCATCGCATGATGAGGGACTATTTTCTCAGCAGCAGCGGAATTTTACTTTGCTCTAGTTAGTTGTGATGTAACGAACTCACTGCCAATGATGTGGCAACATGGTAAATCAGTGTTCATTTACCAATTGCAAAAATAAAGCTTAGATTGTGTAGCAATGGCAGCTGCAGGTAAACAAACTATTAAAAAGCTGGTAAGAAAGGTGCCAAGCTTTCTATCAGGAAGTACAACTCACTGCTGCTGCTCAGACATAAATCTTTCAAATGCAAGGTTGGTTTTACTTCTAAAATTATTCTCTCAACACAGACATTTACATGGACAGTCTGGTGTAATAACAGATTTGTTTCGGGTGTTTTGTGGAGTGGGTAAGACTGTGTTTAGTGGCAGGATAAACTATGACCATTGACATGCACTAGTCTAACACCAGTGACCTCTGCAAATACAAGAACTGGATGGAATATTTAAAAAAGTGTCACAACACTCTGGCTCACTAGGAAATGAGGTCCTACGTCCAAAATTCCAGACTGTCCCTTTACAATTTGCCAACGCCTTGAAAATAAATCTTGATCAAAATGACTCAAATCATGATTCTCTTTCCTAATTCAAGACATTTTTTGTTTTTGTAGACACTTCGATAGTTTGCAGTGAGGCAGTCCTTATTCCCAAATGCAAATTGTATCCACTATTGGCCACTAAAGAATGGTCCGATGGCACGAAAGCTTTGGAACTGCCAAGACTTTTAACAGTTCGTCTCTTAAAGAAACTGTCACGTCGTTTTGGGTCAGCTCCCGTTGGTGATAATGACTGAGGTTGCTTTGTGTGCTTGCATCTGCTCCGCCTGCATCCGTACGTGCGTGGCCACGTCGTAGGGCACCCCCGCGCAGCCCGCCAGCCCGGGGTAGCTCCTGAGGTTCTCCGGGTCGTAGAAGTGCTCCAGCGAGTACCCGGTCAGAGCGTACGCCGCCTGCCTGTCCATGGGCTGCCTCTCCTGGGCCGGGTAGAGGGTGGGGCTGCCCTGCGCTGGCGGCGCCGAGTGCGGGGAGAGCTCCGTGCTGTGGATGTAGTCTTTGGTGGTGAGCGGCAGTCCCGTTCTGGGTATCCCGTCCGAGCTGGGGCTGCTGAGGCGGGACAGGGAGGCCGGGCTCGGGGTGCTCTCGTCCGGCTCGGGCAGTTTGAGGCGCTCCTGGAGGTGGTGCAGTCTGTCGGAGGGGGGGAGGTCCATGCTGGGAGCGCCCGGGCCCCGGCACACCACGCTGGGCATGTTGAGGGCGCCGTGGTGGCTCAGGCCGGAGCTGCTGTAACAGGGGCTGTGGGACTTGGAGGTGATGCCGGGAACGTCCACCGGGGGCGCTTTGTGGTGCTGCTGCTGGAGGCGAGTTTCTTCTTCTTTGATCATCTGCTGCGTGGCGCGGATCAGCGTCTCCATCTTGCTGGGCTCGCGGGGGCTGGTGCGGAAGTGGTCGCCGTGGTAACGCTCACCTGAGTCGCTCGTGGATCCGCCCCCGTCCGGCGAGCTCACGACGCTGTCCTCGTCCCAGTGACTGCGGCCTGCAGGAAACATTCAAACAACAATATTTATTTAGTATTAAACTAGACAATGAGTAGATGATCATCTTCTTTAATTTAAAACACAATACTGATGTAAAATGGTCCATTTAACATGGACATAAATGTTCATTTTCCATGCACATTCAACCCACTCATTCTGATCATTTCACTGCTCAAAATATTGTCAGGGAAATTAAATAAGAAGCTCTCTGTCATGTTTATTTGTATCTGTGTGTTATCTGTTTTTTATACAAGCTTAAAATGTCCATCAATTCATCGACCAAAATGTTAGTGGCATTAGAAAAAAAACACTCCTCCTGGTAACCTCCTGTAGCCACAGTTGCCCTGGGGTAGACTCATGGAAGTGATGCTGCCAGTCTGCACCATCTGCCCCTCCTACTACTGTCGTAGTACTCAAGACCAGGCTCGAGACCGGACCAAGATCTTGTCTCGGACTCGAGGTCTGACACACGATGAGTGTGATTGTATTTCATTACGGCCACTAAATGTGCAAAGGCTTCTCAGTATCACTGCAAAAGCAGTAAGAGAATGTAACTGTAAATGTTATGAACTGGGGAAAAAAAAACAAAACAAAAAAAAACCACTTGATTAATTTTGAAGTCGTTTCCTGTAAAGTACCAGTGGAAGTCGCATTAAAGAAAGGGGCTCTCAAACTGTAGGTCGGGGTCCAAAAAAGGGGCACAGAGTGTTTAATGCAGAAGTTCTCTTGGCCTGTTTAAGCAACATTCACCACTTTCATACCCGACAGTGTGGGTTAAGTGTCTTGCCTAAGGACACAACGACACAAAACAGAAATCAAACCTTCGACCTTTGGGACAACAGCTCTGATACTGGCTTAAATGAAGTCTAAGCCAGATCTAAACCAAGCCTAAACCAGGACTAAAGTCAGGACTAAACCAGGTCTAAACCAGGACTAAACCAGGTCTAAACCAGGTCTAAACCAGGACTAAACCAGGACTAAACCAGGGCTAAAGCAGGTCTAAACCAGGTCTAAACCAGGACTAAACCAGGACTAAAGTCAAACCAGGTCTAACCAGGACTAAACCAGGTCTAAACCAGGTCTAAACCAGGACTAAACCAGGACTAAAGCAGGTCAAAACCAGGACTAAACCAGGACTAAACCAGGTCTAAACCAGGTCTAAACCAGGACTAAACCAGGACTAAAGTCAGGACTAAACCAGGTCTAAACCAGGTCTAAACCAGGTCTAAACCAGGACTAAACCAGGTCTAAACCAGGACTAAACCAGGTCTAAACCAGGACTAAAGCAGGTCTAAACCAGGACTAAACCAGGACTAAACCAGGTCTAAACCAGGTCTAAACCAGGACTAAAACCAGGACTAAACCAGGTCTAAACCAGGTCTAAACCAGACTAAACCAGGACTAAACCAGGTCTAAACCAGTCTAAACCAGGACTAAACCAGGACTAAAGCAGGTCTAAACCAGGTCTAAACCAGGACTAAACCAGGACTAACCAGTCAGGACTAAACCAGGTCTAAACCAGGACTAAACCAGGACTAAACCAGGTCTAAACCAGGACTAAACAGGTAAACCAGGACTAAACCAGGACTAAACCAGGTCTAAACCAGGTCTAAACCAGGACTAAACCAGGACTAAAGCCAGGACTAAACCAGGTCTAAACAGGACTAAAACCAGGTCTAAACCAGGACTAAACCAGGTCTAAACCAGGACTAAACCAGGTCTAAACCAGGACTAAAGCAGGTCTAAACCAGGACTAAACCAGGACTAAACCAGGTCTAAACCAGGTCTAAACCAGGACTAAACCAGGTCTAAACCAGGTCTAAACTAGGACTAAACCAGGTCTAAACCAGGTCTAAACTAGGACTAAACCAGGACAACCAGGTGTAAACCAGGTGTAAGCCAGGTCTAAAATCAGGACTAAAACCAGGACTCAGCCAGAACTAAAATCAGGTCTAAACCAAGTTTAAACCAGGACTAAAATCAGAACTAAAACCAAGAGTAAACCAGGTCTAAACCAGGTTTAAAGCCAAGTCTAAACCAGGTTGGAAACCAGGATTGCACTAGCTGACAGTCCTCCCCGTAACGAGACTCAAACTGTTAGTGTTGTATGGTAATTCCCTCGCGTTCGTCTAATGTCCTGGCTCGCATATGCACATTCTGAGCTGTCAAACGATCTCTCTATAGTCTCCATTATGGCGTCGTTACGGGCTCACAGACTCCGCTGCTTTCACACCTCATTGTGTTTATCTTGTTACCATCTTTTGACGACTCTACAAAGCCTCGCGAACATCCAGCAGACACATGTGGGCCGTTAGTCGTAGCAGCGCCGCGGGGGATGCTTCACTCTTTTAGGATGTGAAAAGTGAAATAACTTGGCTTTCAATCGGAGGCAATTTTTGGAACAGATGGCAGCAATCAGCGCACTGGCACGGGACGGCGTAAACAACTTAGCATGCTCGCATAATAACATTTGGGAAAGAGCTACCAGGACGAGCGTCAGAGCGTCAGGGATGTTTCTTTGGCTATTTGGTTTCAGGACAAAGCAGCGATACGATAAGTCAGCGTTGAGGAAATGGAAGGTTTTAATTTCAGATGAAGGGCAGGGGTCGGAATAATGATCTATGACTGTTTTTGGAAGAAACATCGAAAGAGAAAGTACATAAATGTTTAATTTAGGGTGATAAGGTGTCCCGGTTTTGAGTCCTGTGTCCCCTGTCCTAAACCAGGACTAAACCAGGACTAAAACAGGTCTAAATCAGGTCTAAACCAGGACTAAACCAGGACTAAACCAGGAGTAAAACCAGGACTAAAACCAGGACTAAACCAGGATTAAACCAGGACTAAAACCAGGACTAAAACCAGGACTAAATCAGGACTAAAACCAGGACTAAAACCAGGAATAAATCAGGACTAAAACCAGAATTAAACCAGGACTAAAACCAGGAGTAAAACCAGGAGTAAAATGGGACTAAAACCAGGACTAAAACCAGGACTAAAACCAGACTAACACCAGAATAAAATCAGAACTAAACCAGGACTAAACCTGGACTAAAATCAAGACTAAAACTGGTCTAAAACAAGGAGTAAAACCAGGACTAAACCAGGACTAAAAGAGGTCTAAACCAGGACTAAAACCAGGACTAAATCAGGTCTAAACCAGGACTAAAACCAGGACTAACCCAGGACGAAAACCAGGAGTAAAATGGGACTAAAACCAGGACCAAACCAGGACTAAAACCAGGACTAAACCAGGATGAAAACCAGGACTAAACCAGGACTAAAAGAGGTCTAAACCAGGACTAAAACCAGGACTAAAACCAGGACTAACCCAGGACTAAAACCAGATCTAAATCTTTTATTTAAAAAGACTATAACAGTTTTGAGTCTTGTGTCCCCTGTCCCAGCAGATTTATCCAAAACCAGTGATTTGTCCAAGTTTTATACAAGAAATGTCCCTATTTTTGACTAATTTGATCTCTGCCAACAGTAAAGAGAGGCATATATTGACATTTGTTTGGGTAAAATTCAGAAAAAACGGCTTAAAAATTACCTAAATGCAAAGAAAATGCGACTATACTGACTCACATGTTAGACTACGTTTATATGATGAGGGTCTGAACAGAAGACGCAAAAGTGGCGTCGCATCTTCACTTTTTATTCCGCGTTTAGTCGAGCGTTTTCAGGAGGAAATCTACGTGCAAACGGTGACGCAAAAGTGTGTGGAACTGGATTGTCTATGTTTGTACTTAAAGCAACAAGGCCGTCTTTTCTTTGGACATACGGAAGTTTTCTCCTTCCACAAAGTCGTTCCACCATCGTCAGGTTCTCCGGGTCTCGTCCATCGCCGTCTGACTCGACTGCGACGACCTGGTGCATCCGGAATTTGACAGAGGTGATTGCAGATCCTTCTCTGTTCACTCATAGTATCTCTGCAGATTCGAAATGGTGGAAATGTTCCGACATGTTTGTTTCTGTGCACTGTATGTATGTGATGTAAACGTGTACACGACCTGAGCAGATCTGACCAGAGTTTTGCGTCTTGGGCAGTGTAGACGGAAACACTGCGGCGGAGCGTATTCAACTTTTCCACTCTGGAGGGTGGTTTCAGATTTTTGCGTTTTAAAGCCCCAAAAACGTTGTCACCGTCTAAACGAAAGACACTTCCGATAAAATATTTTGTCGTTTTTTCCCGTAAACATTCTCATGGAAACAGGCCCTTAAAAGTAGCAAAATGATCTGTCCATGCAGCAAGATAATTTTACTTGACAAGTTATCTTAAAATAAATGACCTCTAAACTAGAATTAAGAAGTCTCAGAACTAGCAAGTAAATAATAAATCTGAAAACAGGATGAATAAGCTGATTTAAGTTTTAAAATCTTGGACAAATCAGAGAAATTTGCAGTGTTGGGTGGACGCACCAGTCGCAGAGCAGAGTTGAGGTTTGTGCAGAAGTCAAAGGTTGAACTATTGTGGACAAAACAGACTATTTAGGTTTTGAAAAACAGGAGGTAAGAGCATTTTGTGCATTTATGGACCGGGAAGACGTCTGTGCTTTTCTTTCAGCTGGATATATGTTCGATTTTTACCTCCGCCAAGGAGGTTATGTTTTTGCTGGCGTTTGTTTGTTTGTTTGTTTGTCTGTTAGCAACATAACTCAAAAAGTTATGGACCGATTTTGATGAAATTTTCAGGATTTGTTGGAAATGTGAAAAGGAAGAACTGATTTCATTTTGGGGCTGATCCGGAAGAAATCCTGGATTCTGGATCACTTTGAAATTTTATTTAACATTGTGGTAAATGGGGCCAAAAATTTGTTTCTCAATATCTCGGTTAATTATTGACCAAACCCCATGAAATTTGACTCAGGGATGGACAATGGGATCCTCTTTCATATTCCAAATTGAAAGATACGAGACAAATATTTATGGAAAACACAATTAATATGAGGGGGACTGTAGTCCTTGGCGGAGTCTGCGCTCTCTGACTGCTTTTCTAGTTCAGCTTGTTCTGCTGTTGTGACGCTTCAACCAGAACAAGAATAGAACCAGAACAGAACCTTGAAATTGCTGCACAAGATTTTTTTTCCTCGTAGTTCAAATGTAAAATATCAGCTAATTATTTAACTTTTATCATTTTTGTTTAATTCTGTGATTTGTAGAGTCGCTCGTTGGATTCTCACCGTGTATGGCTCCGTGGTACGACGTGATCTCGTACCCCTCGCTGTTCTCCGAGGCTTTGGGCAGGGTCAGCACGGATCGGGTCGCGTCCCACCACATCTCGCGTCCCGACTGGGGGGTTCCCAGGAAGTAGCGCCCGCTGTGGCACCGGACGCGCTCGCAGGCGGACGGGTGGGCGTGGTTCAGCTCGTCCTCCGTCAGGCCCAGGCCGTAGTACAGGGGGGCGGAGTCGGGGTAGAGTCTGTACGCGCAGGACGAATCGGACGCCTCGCTCGGGTCCATCAGCTGAGGGGAGGCGGAGTCCGTCTGAGGGCTGCCTCCCCATTGGCTGTCCTGGTCCGACTCGGAGCGCTCGGGGTTAAACGCTGAAAACTGCTGCAAAATAAAAGCAAAAAAAAAAAAGAGCACATTTCAACTTCCTGGAGTGGTTAGAAACGAATTATAAAGCAAATCCAAACAACCTGATGAGGAGCGTCTACAGGCACAGAAATAATACAATTCCATAAAGAAAAAATAATAAAATCTACTTGTACATTTAACAAATATGTGATTTTAATACACACATTTTCTTTGAGTTTATAAATTAGAAACAATCCTACTCCATTGCAATTCATTTTTAGTATTTATTTGCATACATATTGTGAAGAATATGTTAGAAAATGTTACTATAACCAGCTGTGAGTGTCTAAAACAGAAAAAAATCTTAAAGTTGCACTGTGTAACTCTTATTGTGAAGGGCCACATGAGGAGGGTTGGTCTGTATAGCAGGAGCGTTCCAGACGTGCAACAGAAACTCCCGGCGTTCGATTATCTTCCGACTCCCACTTGGACCTCGGATTTGACGTCACGTCCGAGCTTGAAGCGCATTATTCTGTTTCGCGTCCCTCAACTTATGAAAACACTGCCGCTTTAAGATTTGAAATTTGCACTTCATTGTATGTTATGATTTCTCTTCTGTTACAACCTTAGGGACGTTAACTAAGTATAAAACTAACTTAAATCAAGTATTTGTTCAATATTGGCCTCGCCACAGCACTGACGACCAAATCCACAGGCAGAGATACACTGAGTGCGTATACATGCACATCAATAACCCGGTTATTAGCCATATCCCGGTTATGTCAGTATTCGTGTTACTGTGTTTACATGAGCACTGAGAAACCGGGACACTCATATCCGCGTGTACATGATCAAATGGAGTATCCCGGTTTCTTGACATAATCTTACAAATGCGCAGGCGCAAAAATTAACTTAAATCAATTTCATAAACCAGGAAAAATACAAACCGTGAGCTCCTTTAGCATAAGAAGCTAAAGAGCTACGAGATCTCCCACAATCCACTGTGCAGATTCTTCATTAAAATCTTCTGCATAAATAAACTCAACTTTACAACATATAAACCATAAACACTATAGACACATCAGCCCGTTTGATCAGATAATTCAGCTCTGATCACATTTGTTTACGTTTTACAGAAACGAAACTTAAGACCGTAGGCTAATTAGCATAAACTGTTAGCGGCGATAAAAACAACTCGCTCCTTGCGCCGCTGATGTGATCAGTTTCTTTTGGACTAAATGACACGACTCTGTGGATTATGTGTGTTATTTCTGTGACAGAAGAGACGCTAATGATGGTAAGTGTGTTTCGTGCGTATAGAGTATAGGAGATAGTTCATGTTTTAGCTTTTCAGCGTCACACGAGTGCAGGTCGTACGTGTGCAGATTGTACGTGTGCAGGTTTAGCGCAGCTCTTTATTTTACAGTCATTTCACTCGTTTGGTCACTTTATTTATGTTGGTCAATTTATTTATGTCACTACTGTTGTGGTGAAAGGCTGGAAAGTGTCTTTTGGACGCATGCGACTCAACTTTATGTTGCAGTAACCGGGATACTGCGTTTACATGCCACAAGTAACCCGGTTACTATCGGAATAAACCAGCTACAGTAACCCGGTTTCTAATAACCGGGATACTGCCATAACCGGGTTACTGAAACCGGGTTACTGCGTATACATGCACCATCAAGAAACCGGGATACTCAAAAAACCCGATCATAACCGGGTTACTGATGTGCATGTATACGCACTCACAGATGCAGTGAAGTACTGCAGTGATACGGACGCGGTAAAGTACTGCAGTAACATGAGTGATTGAAACTGTCATTTAAACACCAAAGTGTCCAAACACAATGAAAACACTTCATATTTACACATCACAGTGGGCACAACCATCTTGGATTCTGACTTGGAATCCTTGCTCATGGTAAATAAATGCATCTATTACGGAAGCCGAGAGGGGTCACAACAAATACAACTGCCGCAACACAACAAAAAGCCACAACAAACCAAAAAAAGCCACAACGGAAATGACCGCGGGACTTTATTTTAATGCAAATGCCGCAACAAATACAAAAAGCCGCAAAGGAAATGACCGCGGGACTCGTGAAAAGTAAAGGAACAGGGAAGTTGGAAAAGTAAGTAAAAGTAATTTATTGTTTTATCATTATTCGTCTCACATTGTTGTTCCTTCTTCACTTGTCGCTTGATCGGTCCGTCAGAAAATAGAGTCCCGCAGTCACTTCCGTTGTGGCTTTTTAATGTGTTGCGGCATTTGCGTTTGTGTTGTGGCGTTTGTATTTGTTGCGGCGTTTGCATTAAAATAGAGTCCCGCGGTCATTTCCGTTGTGGCTTTTTTTGTCGTGTTGTCACATTTGTATTTGTTGCGGCGTTTGTTGTGACCCCTCTCGGCTTCCGTACATCTACAGTAGCGAAAACAATAGATTTATAGTGAATTTAAATGCCTTTTCAGCTGAGAGTTTTACCTGTGGGTAGGGGGAGACGCGGGCCTTGGACTTGCCCTGGTTCAGTCTGGGCTTGGAGCTCTTGCGGTCTTCGCTGTGGGGGTCTGAGGCGTAGGGGAAGGCCGGTTTAGTGGGACTCATCTGGTCCAGGGACAGCTGCATGCCCTTGTACTCTGTGTCCCTGTAAAGAATACGACACAAGACAGACAAATAAAGTCAGCTTCTTTATGGAGAAAGTGACGTGTTGCATCGAATGAGACAAAGGCGACGTTCACACTGCAGCCTGAAGTGACGCCAAATCAGATTTTTTTTTTCACCCCTATGCTCCTGTATCTGATCTTTTAATGACAGTCTGAACGACACAGATCCGATTTTTTTCAAATGTGATCCAGGACACTTGGATATTTGCTCCTAAAACCGAGACATATCTGATCTTTTGACATGTGACTTCAGTCTGAACGGTCAGGTCACATTCATCCCACCAACACGTCAGGCTCAGAGTCTCGTCAATGGAGGGAAACTGAAGTTAGGATTTGTATTCAGGACAAATTGGAGGTGTCTTATCGGAACCGAGCGTTTTTGAAATGTCCGAGCGCGGCTACAGACGGTCCTGGCTCCAGTGTCACCGAAAAATAAAGAGCCACATCACACACAGCGAGCGTGCTCAGTGTTTACGGAAGTCAACTAAACTCTGGGCTTGTCTATCAAAATACGGTCCAGTTCTTGGTAAAATGGACAGGTTACACGTCCACGGCCGCTTTGTTTGTTTGACTCCGAGCCTGACGTGTAGGTGGGATGAATGTGACCTGACCGTTCAGACTGCAGGCCTGTTTACACGAGAACACTTGTGGGTAAAAACGACAAAATATTTTATCGGAAGTGCCTTTCGTTTCGACGGTGACGGCATTTTTGGGGCTTAAAAACGCAAAAATCTGAAACCACCCTCCAGAGTGGAAAAGCTGAATACACTCCGCCGTAGCATTTCCGTCTACACTGCCCAAGATGCAAAACTCTGGTCAGATCTGCTCAGGTCACGTACGTGTTTACATCACATACCTACAGGACACAGAAACCTGGCATGCATGAATACACAATCGAATTCCACACACTTTTGCATCACTGTATGCATGCAGATTTCCTCCCGAAAACACTCGTCTAAACGTGGAATAAAAGATGAAGACGCAGCACCACTTTTGCGTCTTCTGTTCAGGCCGTCATCGAATAAATCAAACTCATTTTGGTCCGGGAGCCGTATCCAACCGACTTTGATCCCAAAGAGGCCGGATCAGAAAACTCATGTCATATAAACCCCAAAAATAACAATAAGTTCAAATATTTGTGCAGAGAAACACAAATCTATTACAGAAATCTTTTTTAATTGATGAACTCTTTCTTTTACAAAATATTATAATATTATGAACAACCTGAAACTTTAAGAAAAATGCAATTTCAACACAAAGTTTTAACATGAACTTGTATGTAAATAGGAATAAGTAAATTTTTGTTGTAAAATCCTGCACTCGGCTCCACTTTTCTCATGTTGGACATTTTTCTGATGAGGGTGTCACGGTCAACAGTCAAAACGATCGTCCTTTAAGAGCGTTTGGAAAGAGACAAGTCTTCATTTGTGCTGCTCTGGTGGGAGGGGCCACGTACAGAGACGCTGGAGACGCTGCTGTGATAAACACCACAGAAAATTAACAATATTTTAATAGAAAATATAATGAAAATATTTTAGTAGAAAATCAGCCGAGGGCCAGATTAAAGGTCTTGGAGGTCCAGATCTGGCACCCGGGCCGTATGTTTGACACCCCTGGTATAAACGTAGCCTGAAGTCGCATGTCAAAAGATCAGATATTATCGGTTTTAGGAGCACATATCCAAGTGGCCTAGGTGAAAAAATCGGATCTATTTCATTCAGACTGTCAGGAACGTAGACATGAAAATAAATCAGATGTGGGTCACTTCAGGCTGCAGTCTGAACGTAGTTTTGATCATAGAACATTTTTTAAAACTGTAAATCTAAATCTTGCACTAACATATTATCATTTGTCAAGTTTTCCAAATTCAAACACCTTAAATATAATAAAGTTCACCTTTCAAATCCTTCACCCGACCTCCTTCGACTCACAACATTCAATTTCATTTCGACTACATGCACGACCAACACGGCTGCTGTTTTGGCATTTGCTCTTTCTGTTCTTACCCCGAACCGTGTCAAACGTTGCGCAAACACCCTCCTCTCCCTCCCTCCCCGCCGTCCCGTCCTCCGCTTCCACCCTCCTCCGGGCTCTTCCCACCTTTTTGGCCCGGCGCTGACCCCGTCCGCGACCCGCTCCTGCTTTAATTCAGCACTTAACACGTGTGCTCTTTATGTAGCGCTCTCGGGGGGGGGAAGCCGGTGTTTGGATAGCTGCTGCGGTTGGCGAGAGATGGCGGTGTTTGCCCGGCGCGTGGGGGCAGGTGCGGGGGCAGGTACAGGAGCAGAGGAGCTGTAATGGGTTGGCCGCTGTGTACACTACGGGCGGGGCAAGCGCGGCGGGTCAAAGTCACAGCGCCGAGCGGCCTCCCGAGCCATGATTGATGAATGAGGCGCTGGGCGAAACGGGATCAATTATCGGTTCTGAAAGGTTGTTTTTGGATCATGGTCGCCGGGCTAATTCTTTACTTTGCAGGGACGTCACGCTGGGAGTGCGCCGCATGCATCTCTATGGCGGAATGTTCAGCTGTTGCCACGGAGACACTACGCCCTGACAATAAACAAAATATCGCGATATCGTGTCGTCGAAAGTCTCTCAGTAACATCGTGGGCCGTCAAAATATATCGAATTACAAGTTTATTGTTATGGTGCAGCAAAAACAAAGGGAACTACACTGACCATGATCCTTTGCTCCACTGTGGCGCGAACTACATGAAGAAATAGCAGTTCTAAACATTTTTCAAGGCATTTTAAGAGGAAAAAGTAACGTATTCACGATTTTGTTAAACTCCACAAAAAACCTTCGACATGTAGACAGACAAATAATGAAGGACTCAAACGTGTGAACGAAACAAAACACAACTCCAGAACCTGTGTCATTCATTCATTCGTTTTTCAAAATAAAACCAAAAATAAAACGAAAACAACTTTTTTTCAACTATTTGTCTCCAAAACCAAAATGAAAAAACAAACAAACAAAAAAACAGATAAGGATTTGTTTTTTTTTTTTAAGTTTTTGATTTTGTGTTTAAATGAAAAATGGAAAAAACGAATAAGGACTGTTTCCCGTTTACGTGACTTCGATGCCGGACTGAACCAGGTCTAAACCAGGACTAAACCGGTCTCAGTCTCAGTCCTGGTCTGGTCCCAGTCTCAGTCCCGATCAAGTCCCGGTCTCAGTCCTGATCTCAGTCTTGGTCTGATCCCTATCTGGTCCTGGTCTCAGTCCTTATCACCCAACAGTCTACGCGGGCGCACCTGCGGGCCCGTCCCGACACTCAGTCCTGGTTTAGACTTGGTTTAGACCTAGTTCAATCCTGGTTTAGTCCTGTTTTAGTCCTGGGTTAGACCTGGTTTAGACCTGGTTCAGTCCTGGTTTAGTCCTGGGTTAGACCTGGTTAGACCGTTTACTGGTTAGTCCTGGGTTAGACCTGGTTTAGTCCTGAGTTAGACCTGGTTTAGTCCTGAGTTAGACCTGGTTTAGTCCTGTTTCAGTCCTGGCTCAGTCCGTATCACAGTTTAACGAGAAACAAATCATTATCCTTTTTTTTTTTTTTTTCATGTTGGTTTTAGAGACAAATAATGAAGAAAATAGTTGTTTTTTTCCCTTATTTTTGGCTTTATTTTGAAAAACAAATGTACAAATGATACACGGATTCTCCAGGTCTGTTTTTGAGGAGGTAACAACATTTTATGGCTTAAAACTCAGTCAAATTTGCATAATATAGGACCTTTAATAAAAAACTAAATGGAAAAAAAAAAAAAAAAGTGTATTATATTTCCTTTTTAGTGGAAGTGGTTTCATTTTATTATTATTATTATTATTATTATTATTATTATTTGTTATCTTAAATATTTTTATTTATTTTATTTATTTTATTTTCATCTTTAATTTTGTGATGATTATTTATGTTTCGATTTGTTTTTATTGTGATTTTAATGTATTTCTTATTCTGTAAAGCACTTTGAACGACTTTGTGTACGAATTGTGCTGTACAAATAAACTCGCCTTGGTGTAATATTTGATCGAATTTGTCAGCTTTGTTTAAATATACATGATATTTATGAGTTTGTAGATAATATGTGGACACTCGGGCCTTTCTCTCCGGTGTGTTTTTTGTCTCCCGTGTCCGGCGTCTCACATAATGGACCCGAGGACGTGGTGATTACTGCAGGACTTCAGACGACACGTTTGTATTGATGGAATATCGATCCGTGATTGGTCAGTCCAAACATGTCCGCGATCAATACACATAACATTGTGATTGTGTAGAATAACAAAATCATTCTAACGGAGCGGACGAGATTTAAAGGGCCACGACTCGATTCTCAGCTTTGAGTGAAAAACATGTTTTAGAACCAACGCTTTAGCCCCGCCCACCTCGCTGGACGCCGAAACCTGACAGACGAACCACGATTAACTTAAAAAAAAAAGAACAATAGACAGACGAAAAATGGAAAATACAACATGACGCAATCGTTAAAAGCCAAATAAAAACTAAAATAAGTACGTTTTTTGTTTTCTGTAACAAGTTTTTAATGTTGTTGTTTAGTTCCTCTGTTTTTGTTATTTATTTTATGGAAAACCACACCTGAAAATATCAAAATCAGATTCTAAAGTCCATTCTGACTCCATTTGACAGCCCATACCTGATTTTTTCCCCATGTATTTTAGCAAAATGTGCACAGATTTACCGTATTTTTCAGACTATACGTCGCACTTTTTTTTATGGTTTGGGTGTTTCCAGTGCAACTTATATATTAAAATGTTTGAGTGAAGTGTGGAGAGGTTCTAGTCTTGTGTGTGAGTATCTGCTGCTCCTGTTCCTCCTGCACCACTGTCACTTGGCTCTACTGCGCATGTCTCCTGCAGAAAGAGCCTCTGTCCCGTCTGTATCATGTCAGTCGATCGCACCGTTACTTCTGCACCACTGAACGATTTAACATTTAAACAAACTTATAAAGACAAAGACTGAGAAGA